CGCTGATCGAGTACCCAGTGGGCCTCTGGAACGTCAACACCAAGTAACAAACCAACCTTGTCACAGACTATGGTGGGTAGTTGTACATCTTTCAAGTGTTTCCATCTTTCTTGGAAGTCCGTTGGTGGGATTTCTGCTCTTTTAATAGGCAAGTTATCTATTGTATATGCACCTTCGATTTTTATTCGGTTGGTCTTATCTAAAGACTCAATTTCGAAATTGGTAAGTTCAGCGTTCTGAGATGACGCTCCAATTACTGAAGATACGTTTAATCTTGTCACTGTACCAGAAATTCCTACCTGCTTTGCTACGTCGCTAAGCAGTAATGTCGAGTCTGAGCCATTATCTAACAATGCATAGGTATCCACATAACTTGTGGGACCATGTAGCCTGACTGGTACAAAGCCTAAATACGTCCCAGTAGTATGAGTAGAGTTACAACATGCTTGTTTAGCATCAAGTTCTGTGTTGTGAAGAATTCTATGATGGCGTCGCTTGCATCCATCAATTTCACACAACACAGGTTGTCTGCAGTCTGCGGCTCGATGATTAGGTTTTAAACAATTAAAGCAAAGTTTAAACTTCTTCAGCAATTCTATTTTTTCATTGTGACTTACTTCCAGCAGCTGAGGGCAAGACGCGACTTCGTGGGCATCCGAGCAAATTACACAATGGACTGTCCCTTTAATCAACGAAGTATGGATCTTAGCTCTTATGGAAGCCGACCAGTTGTTCGATATCGTTTGAGCTTTATAGCTTCCGCTTGCTAACCGTCCGTATGTGTTTGTGGCGATTGACACCTTCTTTTCTAAGAATTGCAATAAATCATCAAAATTGGGCTCTAGCCCCTTTCTTAAAATATCGTCCGCGGCCTCCGCCCATTTAAACTGCATACTACGTGGTAGCTGTTTCACTATTCGTTTTATGTTGGTCGAACAATTCAGATCGGTATTCCTGCCCATCTGTGACAAGGCTATCTTACAATTAGTCATGAGTCTTGTCAGTTTCTGTAGGCCAGTTATGTCGTCTTGATTCAATGGTGATCCACTTAAGAGTTCTGTTAAGAAGGCTTCTACGATGTCGTGTGGTCTGCCGAACCGTTCATGTAGAAGCTTAATTGCCTCAGTATAACCTTCCTTTTCTGGTAATAAAACACAGTGTTCTATAGCATCCTTTGCTATACCTTCGCAATAGTGTATCAAGTACATTAATTTCTGAGTGTCATCATTTACTCTGTCAGCTATGTTAACCTTGAATCCCTTCATGAACGTCCAAAATTTCAGAGGGCTCCCGTCAAATTTCATGATTTCTATCTTCGGTAAGCTTACTGACATACATAGCGCCTTGACACTATCTACCTGTGCTTTGAATTGCATTTCATCGCTCAAAAGTACATTGGTGTGTCGGTGACTTGCCGTAACTACTGAAGTTTTATCCTCGGATCGAGACCCCGACAACTCGGTAGTCTCCCTAGGTCTTCTCACTTTGTTTGAAGAGTTCGGAGTTAGTTCTAGCAATCGCTTGCGTAGTTGGAGTTCTCTAATCTCCAGCTCAATCTTTTCTACTTCCCTTTCCCTAGAGTCCACTTCGTCTTCTACACTGTATCTAGTCTCTATATAGTTGTCTCCTACCGAGCAACTGTCTTTGGGGTTAGGTTTAACAATATCAAAGGCAAGATTTAAAGGAATAGGTGAGTTCACCTTAGAAACTGAAGGAATAATATTTTCAGCACTGGAATTGTCTGTGTCTTGGGAACTGTCATCGTTGTACTTCATTCTTCTCGTTCTAGTCATCGTTGGGATGAATGAACCAAACAGGATTCCGACCAAATTCGTTACAGCAAGTATTCCCTCCAATTAGGACCAGAGTTCAGAACTGTATCCACACCAAATGAGACCAAAGTTGAGAACTGTTAATTCTATCGAAGCGTCGAAGTAACCCCGATTGAGATACGCGCAAAATCGAAGTTCCAAAACAACGATTTGTCTACAAAAGCGGTTCTTTATTAAATAATACACAAAATTTAGTTACAAACCTCAACTTGTGAGGTGTCTAGACGTTTAAACGCGTCGTTCAAGAATGAAAATAGCAAAAGCTTCCTGTAAGAGTAACATAAAGAATGATTACAACATACGATAGTCCAAAGACAGCCGATAGCTGTGTCTAAATTTGGTAACAGTTTATGAACAACCGAAACTCGAACCAAGAGCAAACAATATGGAAACTGATGCATTCAAACAAATGCACAAAACTGTGGATAACCTTTACAGTAATTATATTAAAGTGATTATAATGATAAATACAATTATAAGTAAAATAAACATTAAAGATATATGTGAACATTCCAGAATGTTACAGTACAACTTGAGTTACAACATAAGTGTGAAAATTGTTGGGTATACAGCTGCCTACTGAATGTAAATAAGTAGTATAAAACAACATACAAAAGAGTATAAAAGGAACATGTAGGAACAATGTAAAACAAACTTAACACCGCCCCCCAAAGACAGCATGTCTTTCCTTACTTTCGCTGATTAGGTATTAACGTAAAAACATTCAGAGGTGACAATGGTACGATTTACTCTAGCCACAGTCACTCTGAAAAGTCTCTCTATCCTCTACTTTTCGGTCATCAGCTCCTTCTAATAAACAAATTTTACATATGCCTCTAATAATTGTACCCTTCCACGTTCTGATCTTCACTTGGTTCCATAGACCATCTCCTCCTGGGTCAAAACTTACCACGAGGCGTTTAGACCAGTTATTTCGTGCATAAGTGTCCTCAATAATCAAGACTGGACCGCGAACTTGTAAATCTCGTCTTCCTTGTGTCCATTTTGTTCGCGTCTGTAAGAGTGGTCTATCATTAGGTATTCTTTCTGCTTCAGTCAAACAGGTGGTGAGTGTCTCGTAGGACATAGATACTGCGCTCAAAAGTCTGCGTATGCTTCCTATTAATCTTTCCCATACTCGATGATGATTTGCGTAAGGAGTGTTATGGTACCATTCTATGTTCCGGTGAGTCATTTCTTTGGCTACTCTACTATCCTTAAAGTCTGGTAATGGATGTTGTATCTGCTTGTCTAACCCAACTAAAGGAGACATGGATACAGTTGTCTTAAACTTCTTATCATCAGCAGCATACTGAATAAAACAATCATCTTTCTGATTCTCTGTTTCATGCTTGATGTCAATAGAACTTTCAGCAGACGCCACTACAGGAGATACAAGTTTCGTATTTGCAGAGAACTGAGTTGTTGTTGCTTTGCAACTAATTGATGACTCGTGTAGTAGTATCACAGACTTAGCACTATCGTTCACGTCAGAAACACTAGGGAGATCTGTTTCGGCAGAGAACATAACAGATGTTTTCGATGACATTAACTCGCCGCTATCTGTTGGAAGAATTTTGTCTGGAGGAGAAATACATCTAAGGTCAATATTCACTACTGTATCGACGTGACTATCGTTGATAGTTTTTAGAAGGTACTCATCGTCAACAGCTGGTAATGAAATAACTTGTTCTAAATCCATTAAATTCTCGTCTGTCGCTTTAGATACAGAATCAAAGGTGTCTATAAGTCGGTTACTTCTTGAATCAGGTGGAGTGTTAAATCCAGAAGAACGAACTGACGGTAAGCCTTGATGAACCCTGGAATCTTCAGTCTCAACAGCGGCTGCTGCTACTATGAGTGAGCGTACATCATCATTATCGACTAAGAGTGCCACATCAGGAGAGTGCTTAAGGCATAAACCAGGATCATCTATGAACGGCAACAAACGATGTGAAGAGTTTTCAGGCGCTACTGTGGTCAAAGTAAGGGGCGGCGTGGGTCCATCCTCGATAGAACTCTTTGCTTCTAAACAGTTTATGAAGACTGAAGTTTTATTAAGTTGACCCGTTGGTCCAAATAAAGCCCACCCTAACATGGTTAGTGAAGCATAGGGTTGTTTAGGTTTTCCGATACGCTGATCGAGTACCCAGTGGGCCTCTGGAACGTCAACACCAAGTAACAAACCAACCTTGTCACAGACTATGGTGGGTAGTTGTACATCTTTCAAGTGTTTCCATCTTTCTTGGAAGTCCGTTGGTGGGATTTCTGCTCTTTTAATAGGCAAGTTATCTATTGTATATGCACCTTCGATTTTTATTCGGTTGGTCTTATCTAAAGACTCAATTTCGAAATTGGTAAGTTCAGCGTTCTGAGATGACGCTCCAATTACTGAAGATACGTTTAATCTTGTCACTGTACCAGAAATTCCTACCTGCTTTGCTACGTCGCTAAGCAGTAATGTCGAGTCTGAGCCATTATCTAACAATGCATAGGTATCCACATAACTTGTGGGACCATGTAGCCTGACTGGTACAAAGCCTAAATACGTCCCAGTAGTATGAGTAGAGTTACAACATGCTTGTTTAGCATCAAGTTCTGTGTTGTGAAGAATTCTATGATGGCGTCGCTTGCATCCATCAATTTCACACAACACAGGTTGTCTGCAGTCTGCGGCTCGATGATTAGGTTTTAAACAATTAAAGCAAAGTTTAAACTTCTTCAGCAATTCTATTTTTTCATTGTGACTTACTTCCAGCAGCTGAGGGCAAGACGCGACTTCGTGGGCATCCGAGCAAATTACACAATGGACTGTCCCTTTAATCAACGAAGTATGGATCTTAGCTCTTATGGAAGCCGACCAGTTGTTCGATATCGTTTGAGCTTTATAGCTTCCGCTTGCTAACCGTCCGTATGTGTTTGTGGCGATTGACACCTTCTTTTCTAAGAATTGCAATAAATCATCAAAATTGGGCTCTAGCCCCTTTCTTAAAATATCGTCCGCGGCCTCCGCCCATTTAAACTGCATACTACGTGGTAGCTGTTTCACTATTCGTTTTATGTTGGTCGAACAATTCAGATCGGTATTCCTGCCCATCTGTGACAAGGCTATCTTACAATTAGTCATGAGTCTTGTCAGTTTCTGTAGGCCAGTTATGTCGTCTTGATTCAATGGTGATCCACTTAAGAGTTCTGTTAAGAAGGCTTCTACGATGTCGTGTGGTCTGCCGAACCGTTCATGTAGAAGCTTAATTGCCTCAGTATAACCTTCCTTTTCTGGTAATAAAACACAGTGTTCTATAGCTAAACGCTCAGACATAGTACTCGTAGCAGGTGATTTTAATGCTCAGATAGGTAGCTTAAACCAAACAGAAAGGCATTTAGGTGGATATTTTAGTATTCCGACACAGCGAACAGATAATGGTGATCGTCTGCTGCAGCTATGCTCAGACAATCGTTTATTTTTAGCAAACACAAATTTTAAGCATAAGGAGAGACATCGTCTAACATGGCGACCCCCTACACCAAACCAACGATGGACTCAAATAGACCATATTGCCATCAGTCATCGTTGGAGAGGGTCGGTAGAAGATTGTCGCTCATTCTGGGGTACCTGCTTGGACTCCGACCATGCCCTAATACGGGCACGCATCTGCTTGCGCCTCACTGGACGCAAAAAAGCCACATTAAAAAGACCCATTAGAACTGAGTTGAGTAACGAGAAAACCAAAAGTAGGTTCCAGGAACAACTGAGGTCACACTTAGGTAGTTCTGAAAACGAGGCTGACCCAGATGTTGCTTGGAAAGATATACAAACAGCTGTGGAAACAGCAATGAAATCTATTAGTGACTTAAACCACAGAGTTACAACGAACTAGTGGATTTCTTCAAGGTCTGTCACACTGATGGATTCTCGCAAGCTCGTCCCATCAGGTTCTGAATATGATGAAGAGCGAAAACAATTCAGATCTAGGTTAAGAAAAAGTATAAGGAACGACCGTGAGCAGTGGTGGGTAACGAAAGCAAAAGAGATGGAAAAGGCGGCGACTATAGGGAACACAAGACAGCTTTACAGACTAATAAAAGAAACTGGAATTAATAAGTCAAGTGTAAGTGAGATTATTTCGGAAAAAGATGATACTCTCATCTGCTCCCAGTCCAGACGTTTAGAACGATGGGCGGAACATTTTAGAGAACAGTTCAGCTGGCCTTCAGCTACTCTACAACTACCCTCCATTCCCAGACAATGTGAATGGAACATTGAAGTAGGTCCCCCAACTCTTGCTGAAGTTCAAAAGGCTATAGTTAATCTGAAACGAGGAAGGGCAGCTGGTCCAGATGGATTGGCTCCAGAAGTCTTTAAGGATGGTGGTCCAATTTTAGTGATTAGGTTGACTAATATTTTAGCTAAAATCTGGGAGTTAGACGTTATCTCATCTAACTGGTCGCAATCACTAATCGTCCCAATATATAAGAAAGGGTCAAAATCATCCTGTCAGGTTCTAGAACACAGACATACCTATCGGCGTCCGACGATGGTGGTCTTTCTTGACTTAAAAGCAGCGTTTGACTCCATAGACCGCGAGACTCTGTGGCAGTGACTGTCATTGAAAGGCGTACGCCAGAAGTACATAAACCTTGTGAAGGCTCTTTACTCGAACACTACTAGTGGAGTCAGGGCTTATGGCGAACTGTCATCTACTTTTGCAACTTCAAGTGGTGTCCGTCAAGGCTGTCCACTTTCTCCATTTTTGTTTAACTTCATCATAGACCTATTGATGGAAATAACACTCTCGTCGACTGAATTCTCGGGTATTGATCTCCTTCCAGGAGGTCCACTTATCGACTTAGAATACGCAGATGATATAGTCCTGTCTGGTGAAGACGCTGACAAAATGCAGTCTTCTAGTAGCACTAAGCAACAATGCCAGAATGTTTGGGATGCGCTTCTCTCCCTCTAAATGCAAGTTGTTGCTTCAGGACTGGTCTGCGTCAACACCTGAACTAAGGATAGGGAGTGAAGTGGTCGAACGCGTTGGCAACTTCACTTATCTTAGAAGTCTGATCAGCCCTAATGGGTTGGTGTCTGACGAAATCTCAGCACGGATTCGAAAAGCTCGTTTGGCTTTTGCCAACTTACGTCACCTTTGGCGGAGGCGAGATATCCATCTATCAATAAAAGGACGAGTATACTGCGCGGCAGTTCGTTCTGTCTTACTTTACGGCAGCGAAACATGGCCATTAAGAGTAGAAGACACCCGTAAGCTACAAGTATTTGACCACAGATGCCTTAGAAATATTGCTGGCATCTGCTGGGATCACCGGGTAAGTAATAGTGAGGTTAGACGCAGGGTATTAGGGAATGATGGTAAATCAGTTGATGAGGTTATGAATCTTCATCGACTGAGATGGTTGGGCAACGTGTTACGTATGCCTGAACACCGATTACCACGACGTGCAATGCTAACCGGTGTAGGGGTTGGTTGGAAGAAAGTTAGGGGCGGCCAAACCAAAACGTGGCATCAGTGCTTGAAGTCACTAACTTCTAGTCTGAGCCGTGTTGGTAGATGCAGACTACTTGGTTGGGATCCGCGTGACTATCGTAACCAATGGTTGGAGACTCTTGGTGACATGGCTCAGAATCGATCACAATGGCGTCGGTGTATACACTCCCTGTCTTCCCTTAAACTAAGAGATTAAATCACTTCATATCTTTCTTTCTACGAACTAATTCTTCCTTCCTATACTATATCCTTATTGCAACCTTTGACCTAACCACTCTTATGAATCCGGTGTTCATCTTGTTCTGCTAATGAGGTATGGCAACCTGGACCGATGCACATATGTGCCTGGTCCTACGTTGTAGCTGACTGACTGACTGATAGCATCCTTTGCTATACCTTCGCAATAGTGTATCAAGTACATTAATTTCTGAGTGTCATCATTTACTCTGTCAGCTATGTTAACCTTGAATCCCTTCATGAACGTCCAAAATTTCAGAGGGCTCCCGTCAAATTTCATGATTTCTATCTTCGGTAAGCTTACTGACATACATAGCGCCTTGACACTATCTACCTGTGCTTTGAATTGCATTTCATCGCTCAAAAGTACATTGGTGTATCGGTGACTTGCCGTAACTACTGAAGTTTTATCCTCGGATCGAGACACCGACAACTCGGTAGTCTCCCTAGGTCTTCTCACTTTGTTTGAAGAGTTCGGAGTTAGTTCTAGCAATCGCTTGCGTAGTTGGAGTTCTCTAATCTCCAGCTCAATCTTTTCTACTTCCCTTTCCCTAGAGTCCACTTCGTCTTCTACACTGTATCTAGTCTCTATATAGTTGTCTCCTACCGAGCAACTGTCTTTGGGGTTAGGTTTAACAATATCAAAGGCAAGATTTAAAGGAATAGGTGAGTTCACCTTAGAAACTGAAGGAATAATATTTTCAGCACTGGAATTGTCTGTGTCTTGGGAACTGTCATCGTTGTACTTCATTCTTCTCGTTCTAGTCATCGTTGGGATGAATGAACCAAACAGGATTCCGACCAAATTCGTTACAGCAAGTATTCCCTCCAATTAGGACCAGAGTTCAGAACTGTATCCACACCAAATGAGACCAAAGTTGAGAACTGTTAATTCTATCGAAGCGTCGAAGTAACCCCGATTGAGATACGCGCAAAATCGAAGTTCCAAAACAACGATTTGTCTACAAAAGCGGTTCTTTATTAAATAATACACAAAATTTAGTTACAAACCTCAACTTGTGAGGTGTCTAGACGTTTAAACGCGTCGTTCAAGAATGAAAATAGCAAAAGCTTCCTGTAAGAGTAACATAAAGAATGATTACAACATACGATAGTCCAAAGACAGCCGATAGCTGTGTCTAAATTTGGTAACAGTTTATGAACAACCGAAACTCGAACCAAGAGCAAACAATATGGAAACTGATGCATTCAAACAAATGCACAAAACTGTGGATAACCTTTACAGTAATTATATTAAAGTGATTATAATGATAAATACAATTATAAGTAAAATAAACATTAAAGATATATGTGAACATTCCAGAATGTTACAGTACAACTTGAGTTACAACATAAGTGTGAAAATTGTTGGGTATACAGCTGCCTACTGAATGTAAATAAGTAGTATAAAACAACATACAAAAGAGTATAAAAGGAACATGTAGGAACAATGTAAAACAAACTTAACAGACAGAATGACGAAACCAGTTTTTGACATGCTGTGACGGTACATAATATGAAAAATTAAAAAAACGGTGAGTGCCTTGTGCCACTTACAAAAGATTGATGAGACTATAATACTCCAAGATTTATGTATAACATATTGGAAATTGATTATGATGTTTTATTTGTAGTAGGAAGCAAGTAGGCTACATTATTAGTAGAAACAGCTAGCAAACAAGAAAATTTTGAGTAATCTACAGAACATGTCGACACGTTTGAGCAAATTATTGAAACTAAGAATTTGAATGTTAAGAAGTGGACTCCGAACAAAAATTGAAATCTAAGTGGTGTGTGGACGAGAATGATAATGATTAGTTGTCTGCTAAGTCAGACATGTAGATAGTCTGACAGGTGTCAGATGAGTTATATATTCCCCTATCCTTATTATTATTATGACGCACTTATCATTGATTGTTCATTGTTGTTGGATTGTGTCAGGTTTTCAGTGTGGAAATATATTTACATTGTGGTCAGGCTAATTACGTGTTCTTGATCTGAGTTGTGTTGAAGTCCTGTAGAATAGACACTGGGAGGGAATCTAGTGTAGATAATCGTTTAAGGTAAATTAACGCGCCATACGTGTAAACCCAACCGTTATAACATTAGACGAAGTAAAACCAAGTGTCATAATACTAAGATTTTAAATGAATCAATACACTTAAACGGGGGGTGAAAATAGATAATATGAATGTGTTAGACAGTGGTCTTAAGTGAGAAAAACAAAAAGAAACCCAATGTATAGTGGAATACAGATGGATTTTAAAAACGATAGCAGAACTTTTTCTAAACAAACTTGATCATTAATCGGTGGCAAGTTAATTTTAGAACTAATAGTTTATAAGAAACAAGTTTTAAAACTTCTAACGCTTCTGGTAACAGCTACTAGATTATCACTTTAAGCTGTGCACTAATACTAAGATTTATGTAAGATATTATTGAGATGTTACCGGTCTTTGTGCCATGCCATTGTTTTTTAACTGAGACAGAAAAACCATTTCTAGAAGTAGTAGCAAATAGATTATAGACTGAAGTAAAATAACAGTATAAAAGTTGAATGAAGAGTTGCTAGGGTTGAAGCTATCACGGGTTCACTTAATCTGCGAACGAGAAACAAGATTCGGTGACCAAAGACCAGTAAGCTAGCTATTGATGCGTCCCAGCCCCGCTAACTAGAGGGAGAAGTTCAAGCTTGGAATGGGGAAGTATATTCCGCAAGCAGCCAGAAACAAGCGATAACAACAAACACAATTCAAAACGTATACATACAGTACAAAACCGTCCCTGGGAAGAGTTTCCGAATAGCATACTAAAAGACGCAACGGACCAATAGCATTTAAGACATTTCCCAGCGGGGAATACGACATGAAGGTGACAAGAGCGCTTCCGGCGCGAAAACGAAGAAATTCAAGTTCTCTAAATAAAATTACAAAATTAGGTCTTTTCCCAAGTGAGTCTGGGGATCTAATGTCCCCAACGAGAGTTTTGGTCAAACTACTTTTCTAAAAAAGCTTATAACTTCTGCACTCTCTTCGTACAGTTTATTATATGAAGTAGGCTTGTTAACTTTGTAATGTACTTCAGAAGTTGCTTCATCCAAAAACACTTCAATCTATTTTTGAGTGGAAGTAATTATTTTTAATAAGTGAATAAGCAAGACTAATTTGCAAATTAAAAATCTGTATGATTAACTGAATCTTGTTTCAAAAAATCCCTTTTACATTTAAAGCATTGAAAAGAAAACTAAGATTTTCCTTAAATGTTGAGGATAAATGGATTGCCAAAATACCACAGTGTTATCAGACAAATAATTTTGATATAATGAATAAAGAAAATACATTTTTACATTCATCTTTTTTCTTCAACATTAAAGTTGTCTCATATTCATGACTTCTGATTTCTTGAAAGTTGTACAGAAAAAGCTACATGACAGAACAGGTTCGTTGTTCAGTGTGTAAAGAGCCAACCGCAAAATTTTCGGCTGTTCCATCAAATAAATATTCATTTTTGTTACTACTATCCGTTTCATTGAGATTAAGAACCACAAGACGCCCTAGTGGGCCAGGATCGTCTACAGACTTCCAGCGATCAGGATAACTAGATGTCCAATGTTTAGTAATGGCAGCTTCGTTACTAAGAATAATTGGTGTCGAACAACTAGAATTGTTAAGGGATGTGTGGTGTGAATCCAAAAGTACTGAACGGTTAACAGGGTTATTTTTAAGAACTACTGCTTCATCCATTGCAGACGACAAGGTAAGATCCAAAAGACTAGGACTTACTTTCGCTACCTGTAAATGAAAAACAAACAAACAGAAAAAGGACATTTAAGTGCATAAGTACTCATAATGAAAGATTCT